GCAGGCCTTGCGGTGCCTATTCTCCACACACGTTTTGCCTGAACCTGTCGTGTCTGACAACAGCCGCAATTCTCTTCCATGACATTCCAGGAATTACTGGTCGCTCAAGGGATCTGCCACATGCCAGTCGCCCCTTACCATCCAGCCAGCAATGGCCGGGCGGAGAGGGCAGTCCAATCAGCCAAGGAGGCTTTGGGCTGCATGGACCGTGGCAACTGGCTGGCAAGAGTGGCTGCTTACCTTATGGGTTAGCATTCCACTCCTTGCCCTATCACTTGGAAGAGCCCCGCGGAGCTACTGATGGGCCGGCACTTGCGGACTACCCTGGATAGACTGCACCCACTCTATTCATGGGGAACAGCCTGGCAACCTGAGGGCCCCGCCCCCCACCTTCAGGGAGGGGGACCTTGTCTGGGACAAGAGCTACTCCGGGGATTCTAGGTGGGTGCATGCCACCATCACCGCAATAACTGGCCCCTCTTCTTATAGGGTCCCCGTACCAGATGGCACCAAGTGGCAGCCCCATGTGGACCAACTAAGGTGCTGCTTACCACCTGAGGCCTCAACTCAAACTGACCCGCCGAGGCTGGCCACCGTTGCCCAGCAGCCAGACTCTAGCCCACTGTGGCATTTGGCCTTGATTCTGTGTGAGGCCTTTCCCCAGTCAGGCCTCTCCTACCCAGTTACCATCTCCCAGCAACCATTCGTTTCTCCAGCTCAATCCAGCATCATGCCCCTTGGTTTAGCTCTCCCAGTGGCTTTTCTGCAGTCAGGCCTTTTCCACCCAACCGCCGCATACTGGCAGGTTTGTTCTTTCCTGCCTCCTCAGACCGTGCCCCCACCGTCAGGCCTACCTATTTCTGTGGTTCCACCTTCCAGACTAGGCCTTTGTGACGTCACCCGGAGCTCCACTCCCTTCACGGAGGAGCTGCAACAGAGACATCTCACCTCTTCATGCCGCCTCCTGAACTGAGGAGTTCGGGGCGTGTCCACTGCCGTCCCGCCTATCTTCGCAAGTATGCATGAACTACATTTCTGCATGCGCCCTCGCTAGGGGGGGGGGCGTGTTTTGCATCCCCGCTTCTGCTTTTGCTCTCTTCGCTGCCTCCTAGGCCCAACAATGATCCATGGAGATTCTGGCAGTCTTACTATGTCACTCGGTATATTACGAGACTGCTGGTAATATCTAGTCGACTAGAAGATCCAATCTTTAATAACTCCCTGTGGGTATAGACTAGTTTTTGCCTAACTCTACTGTGGTACCATGAGCTCAAAGCCACAGCATCTAAGTGCACCACCATCTTGCGGGGAGGGAGGAAGAATCTCAACTGATTTGTTTTTGCACATCTATAGTGTTTGAAATCATAATAATTTGATTTGTTTGTTTAGTGATTTTCAAAATACAGAGCTTATGAATAGTCTAGTTTTCCCAATTGTCTCATCCTAATTCTTACACTAAAGGCAAATATTGCCTTCTCCTTCATTCTCTCTTCCATGTCAACAAAGGTTTTGAACATATCTCTACAGCATTTTCATTATCAGTTAGCCACTAAGCATTAATAATATTTCAGTCAGCTACTTCCCTGCCAAAGAGAAAGAAAAAAGAAAAACAAAACTCCTCCTCCACATGTGCTTCATCTAGTCTCCTGTGCCCCTAGGGAAGATTTGGAAGGATATGTAGTCAAAAGAGCCTGGATAAATCCCAGTTTCATTCCCACATTCTTGCCATCACAGTATCAGAGTGCACTTCCATACAGCCTATTTGTTAATTTTCAAAGCTAATGAGCTGGTGTCATCTCATAAGGGTACTAATCTCTGGCTGCCAGCAATTCTCATGAGTTGGCTAGCATTGTCTTCAGTGGACAACTGGGAGGGGTATAAAATGAATTTTTGACTGGCATTTTAATCTATTGTCTTTGTCATTATCTCACAACATTTCATAGAAGGTTGAGTGGAGGGCATGGCCATTATCAAGAATGAGGACTTTTTAGATCATCTGGGAAAGTCAGGGAATGGTACCAAGTTATCATGTGTTAAATTCCTGGCAGTCAATTTCAATAGAAAGGAAGGATGCCCAGAATGTCAGAAAATATTTCATTAATGAGACTCATAAATACCAAGGGCCAATTACATAAACTAAAGGGAATCACTGTGTATTCAAATTCTCCTTAATGTGTATCAAGGGCCATTAAATATTCATATCCCTCTGTCATATGAATCAAACTGTAAATCTCTGTCAATACAAATTTAGTAAACAATACTTGCCTTTTGCAGTTCTTCCAGAATATCAAATTAAAATACTAGTGGAAAGAGTTGCAAAGTTCAAAAGTCTAAAATAATGATCCAGTCTTAAAAAGCCATTATTTTTTCTTAACTGATAAAGCAGGAGAGAGGAAGGGAGTATAATAAATCTCCTCTGTAGGTTGTCTTCAATACATTTCTTTAAACAAGTCAAATTTCCTGTAGACATTGGATATTAATGTTTATCAAAGATGTGAGCTCAAGAAGCCAAGATGTTCACAGGAGTAATGTGTGGATGAAATGTACTTTCTCCTTCGCAAAGACATCAGCAAAGCCATTTATTTATTTATTTAGCATATTGCATAGTACTAGTACATGCATAATAGTAGTAATATATATATATGTGTGTGTGTGTGTGTGTATGTGTGTGTGTGTGTATTTGTGCTGATAAATAAATAAATAAATAATTTATCAGCACAAATACACAAATGTAACAAAGGCAACAGTAAAAATATTGGGTTTCTGTCTGGATGGTCTCCTGTGACGAGCCGAAGGACAGAGAATGGAAGTAGTGATCTTCCTCCCATATTTGGGCATACCGGGGTTGTAACACTCTCTCTCTCTCTCTCTCTCTCTCTCTCTCTCTCTCTCTCTCTCTCTCTCTCTCCCTC